ATTGTCTCATAGTTCCCTGAGCCTTTGTACATTTGTGCTCAGTATTTTCTCTGTAAGCATTGGATGGTTTCTATTTATCTCTTTAAGCTCCTTTGTCATACTCCATTGTGCTGTTGAGTCTGTCCATTTATTTACTTTTTTATTTTAGTTACTGTATTTTTAACTTTGAAATTTTTACTTTTTTTGATATCCTATTTATTGACAAGATTTTCACTTTCAATATTTATTGCAAGAATGTTTATGGTTGCTATCTCAGCATTTTTATAATAGTTATTTTAAGGTCTTTATCAGAAAGTTCCAAGAACTGTCATCTTGTTGGCATTTTTCATGATTTAATTCACGTAATGCAGAAGTAGTGCTGTGCCATTCTCTGTGTATCATACTGTACATGTTGTCAATATGTCTTATAATACATGTGATGTTAACTTTCACCTCTTGGTTAAAGTGTACCAAAGTTGGGACGCCTGGGTGGCTTAGTCGGTTAAGCGTCCGACTTTCGCTTAGGTCATGATCTCACGGTTCGTAGGTTTGAGCCCCGCGTCGGGCTCTGTGCTGACTGCCAGCGCAGAGCCTGGAGCCTGTTTCAGAGTCTGTCACTCCCTCTGTCTCTGACCCTCCCCTGCTCACGCTGTCTGTCTCTCTCTCCTAGAAATAAATAAAACATTAAAAAAAAATTTAAAGTGTACCAGAGTTATCAAGAAGATGTGGTATATGTATACAATGGAATATTACTCAGCCATGAAAAAGAATGAAATCTTTGCATTTGCAACAACACGGGTGTATCTAGCAAGTATTATGCTAAATGAAATAAGTAAGAGAAAGACAAATAATGTATGATTTCACTCATGTGTGGAATTTAAGAAATAAAAGAGATGAACAACAAAAACCAAACCAGGATGCCTGGGTGGCTCAGTCCGTTAAGCATCTGCTTTGGCTCAGGTCATGATCCTGTGGTTCATGGGTTCGAGCCCTATATCGGGCACTGTGCTGACAGGTAGGAGCCTGGAGCCTGTTTCGGATTCTGTGTCTTCCTCTCTCTGCCCCTCCCCCACTCCTGTTCACATGCGTGCATGCTCTCAAAAATAAATAAACATTTTTTAAAAATTTAAAAAAGGAGACAAACCACAAAACAGACTCTTAGCTGCAGAGAACAAACTGATGGTTACCAGAGGAGAGATGGGGGGGAAGGGTGAAATAGGTGATGGTGATTAAGTGTGCTTACTGTGATAAGTACTGAATGATCTTAGAATTGTTGAATATACACCTGACAGTAATATAACATTGTGTATTAACTGTAATGGTATTAAAAATTTTTAAACAGAACAATGAAAAAATAAAGTATTACAAAGGTTTTCCACTGTAAAGTTGCCTTTTTTTTCCTTTCAGTTTCATGTGTATCTTGTGGGGATCTGTTTTGAGATTTTGCATATATCATATTTCTAATCATACTTTTACCCACTAAAATTATCCATCCATGCCTCTTAACCTGCCACAATGATTATATTAGTGTTTATTTCAAGGTTATTTAGGATTTCCATTATTCCTTCTATGTTTAATAATTGGAAGTCTGTAAGGAATAGCTGTGCCTTCCCCCCATTTAATTTATTTAATTAAATATTTGTTAATTAGTATGGACTCATTGATACTTAATTTTATCTTTTGGTTATAATCTAATACTGTCATTTTGTTCTAATGGCTCTGAGGGTTTGCCATTGGGCTTTTCTTCGGGTTGGCTCCTGTGTCCTGTTGATATGCCCCCAGGGATTTTGAGTATTGCTCTACTTTCTCATAACACAATATGTATTAGGCACATCTTGTTTTGTTTTCACCCAACTCTGGAATCAACCATTTTTCTAAGGAATCTTGGTTCCTATGCTCATTGTTATTGGGGTATCATTGTTTTTAGGTCCTCTTAGTCAACGGAATTAGGAAGTATATGTTTATAGTCACAAACAGAGACATCCTTATTTCTGTAAGTATTCTTCTGTACTTGTTTGTGTGGTTGTATGTAAAACCATGAATTCTTATTAATATGTGTAATTCTAAATGAAAGCACAAGGTTCATTCTCTTCTAATCTTCCCATTTTTCTTTTTCTTTAAGTTATTTAATTTGTTTTAAGAGAATCAGAGATAGCATGAGTATGGGAGGAGCAGACGGGGAAGGAGAGAGAATACTAAGCAGGCTCTACACTCCCAGCCTAGAGCTCAACACAGGGCTTGAATTCACAAAACCATGAGATCATGACCTGAGCCAAAACCAAGAGTCAGACACTTAACTGACTGAGTCACCTAGGCACCCCTAGTCTTCCACTTTTGATTCTCTGTCTCCCTCTCTCTCAGCCCCTTCCCCACTTGTGCTCTCATGCTCTATCAAAAATACGTAAACTTAAAAAAAATTAAATAAAAAATAAAATGAAATCAGATCTTAATCCGTAGAAATACGGTCTGTGTATTTTTATTTTTTTAATGTTTTTATTTATTTCTGAGAGAGAGAGAGCATGAGCAGGGGAAGGTCAGAGACAGAGGGAGTTACAGAATCTGAAACAGGCTTCAGGCTCTGAGCTAGCTGTCAGCACAGAACCTGACGTGGGGCTCAAACCCTCGAACCGTGAGATCATGACCTGAGCCTAAATTGGACGCTTAACCGACTGAGCCACCCAGGCGAGGTGCCCCTGTATATTTTTAAAAAATTAAACTTTTAGGGGCGCCTGGGTGGCTCAGTTAAGCATCTGACTTTGGCTCAGGTCATGATCTCACAATTCGTGGGTTCGAGCCCCACGTCGGGCTCTGTGCTGACAGCTAGCTCAGAGCCTGGAGCCTGTCTTCGGATTCTGTGTCTCCCTCTCTCTCTGACCCTCCCCTGCTCATGCTGTTTCTCTCTCTCAAAAATAAAACACTAAAAAAAAAAAATTAAACTTTTATATTGAAATAATTGTGGATACACATTTAGTTATAAGAAATTGTATTATTTCAGATAACCTGTGTATTGTTTACTGAATTCTCCCCAATGGTAACATCTTACAAAATTGTGGAAATGTTTTGATATGGTCCTCTAATCTTTTTCAGATTTCCAAATTTTTATGTATTTTTTATTTTAATTTTTTATTTTACAAGTTTTTGTTAAATTCCACTTAGTTAATGTACAGTGTAATATTAGTTTTGAATGTAGAATTTAGTGATTCATCACTTACATAGAATACTCAGTGCTCATCACAGATACCCTCCTTAATACCCATCATCTATTTAACACATTCTGCCATCTACCTCCCTTCCAATAACTCTCATTTTGTCCTTTATACTTAAGAATCTGTTTCTGGGGCATCTGGATGGCCCAGTCAGTTAGTTAAGCATCTGACTATTGATATTGACTCAGGTCATAATCTCAAGATTTGTGAGATCAAGCTCTTAGGATTCCCTTTCTCCTTCTTTCTCTGCCCCTCCCCTGCTCACTGTCTCTCAAAATAAATTTAAAAAATTAAAAAAAAATTAGAAAGATGGGGCACATATGGTTCTCAACTCCCCACCCCCCAAAAGAGTCGTGTTTCCAGGTTTGCCTTTCTCTTTTTTTCCACATGTTTATCTATTTTGTTTCTTAAATTCCACATATGAGTGAAATCATATGGTATTTGTCTTTCTCTGACTGACTTAATTTGCTTAGCATGATACCCTCTAGTTCCATCCATGTTGTTGCAAATGGCAAGACTCCATTTTATTTTTTTGTGGAGTGGGGTAATATTCCATCTGTTCTTTATTCATTTATCAGTTGATAGACATTTGGGGTTTTCCCATAATTTGGCTATTGTTGATAATGCTGCTCTAAACATCAGCGTGCATGTATCTTTTTGAATCAGTGTTTTTTTGTATCCTTTGAGTAAATACCCAATAGTGCAATTGGCTGGATCATAGTATGGTTCTATCTATCTATCTATCTATCTATATATTGTTTTGTTTTGAGTTTATTTATATAGTTTGAAAGAGACAGAGACAGCACGAGCAGAGGTGGGGTAGAGAGAGGGAGTGAGAGAATTCCAAGCAGGCTCCACACTGTCTGCACAGAGCTCAATGCAGGGCTCAAACTCATGAACTATAAGATCATGACCTGCGCTGAAGTTAAGAGTTGGACATTTAAGCAACTGAGCCATCTAGGCACCCCCAAATTACAGTAGTTTTAGCAGAACACTTAATGTACAAGCCCGATGTGGGGCTTGAACCCATGAACCGTGAGATCATGATCTGAGCTGAAATCGAGAGTTGGACACTCAACTGGTTGACTGAGCCACCCAGATGCCCCAAGATAGTTCTATTTTTAACTTTCTGAGGAACTTTCATACTGTTTTCCCAAGTGGCTGTACCAGTTTGCAATCCATAAACAGTGTAAGAGGTTTCCACTTTCTATGCTTCCTTGTCAACACCTGTTGTTACCTGTGTTAATTTTAGCCTTTGTGATTGGTGAGATGATACCGTAGTTTTGATTTCTTTTCCCTGATGAGTGATATTGAGCATCTTTTCGTGTGTCTGTTAGCTATTTGTATGTCTTCGTTGGAAATAATTTCTATTAAGGCCTTCTGCCTGTTTTTCAACAGGATTATTTGTTTTTTTGGGTGTTGGGTTTTATAAGTTCTTTATATATTTTATTTTATTTATTTTTTAAAAAATATTTATTTTGGGGGAGAGCACAAGCTGGGGAGGAGCAGAGAGAGGAGAATAGTGGATCCGAAGCAGGCTCTGCACTGACAGGCTGTCAGCAGTGAGCCTGATGTGGGGCTCCAGCTCATGAAATGCAGGACCATGACCTGAACCGAAGTCGGAAGCTCAACTGACTGAGCCACCCAGGCACACAAGTTCTTTGTATATTTTAGATAGTAACCCTTTATCAAGTATGTCATTTGCAAATACTGTTATCTTCTCTCATTGCAGAGATTTCCTTTGTTATGCAGAAGTTTTTTTTTCTTGATGAAGTCCCAATACTTTATTTTTGCTTTTGTTTCCCTTGCCTCAAGAGATGCATCTAGTAAGAAGTTGCTACCGCCTGGCCCCTGTCAAAGAGGTTACTGTTTGTGTTCTTCTCTAGAACTTTGATGGTTTCCTCTTTCACACATAGGTAAGTATTATATCCATTTTGAATTTATTTTTGTGTATGGTGTAAAAAAGTGGTCCAGTGTCATTCTTCTGCATGTTGCTGTCCAGTTTTCCCAACCCCTTTTGTTGAAGAGACTGTCTTAGTCCCATGGGATATTCGTTCTTTCTTTGTTGAAAGTCAGTTGACCATATAGTTGTGGGTTCATTTCTGAGTTTTCTATTGTTCCATTCATCTATGTGTCTATTTTGTGCCAGGCCCATACTCACTACAGGTTTCTAATATAGCTTGAAGTCCAGAATTGTGATGCCTCCAGCTTAGTTTTTCTTTTTCAAGATTTCTTTGGCTATCTGGGTCTTTTGTGGCTCTATATAAATTTTAGGGTTGTTTGTTCTAGCTGTGTGAAAAATGCTGGTGGTGTTTTGATAGGTGTTAAATTGTGTAGATTGCTTTTAGGCAGTATAGACATTTTAACAATATTCTAATCCATGAGTATGGAGTGTTTTTTTCTTTTTTTTTTCCATTGTAGAAGGTTTCTTTTCTAATTTTTAAAATTTATTTTGAGAGAGAGAGCGCGCGAGAGAGAGCACTAGCGGGGGAGAGGGGTGGAGAGAGACGGAGAGAGAAAATCTTAAGCAGGCTCAATGCTCAGTATGGAGACTGATGTAGGGCTTGATCCTACAACTGTGAGATGGTGACTTGAGCAAAAATCAAGAGTTGGGCGCCCAGCTGACAACCACTCAGGCGCCCCTGTTTTTTCATTCTTTTGTCATCTTCAGTTTCTTTCATCAGTGTTTTATAATTTTCAGAGTATAGGTCTTTCACTTTAGTTAGGTTTTTCTTTTTTTTTTAATTTTTTTTTGTTTTATTTATTTTTGAGACGGAGAGAGACAGAGCATGAGGGAGGGAGGGGCAGAGAGAGAGGGAGACGCAGAATCTGAAATAGGCTCCAGGCTCTGAGCTGTCAGCACAGAACCCCACGTGGGGCTCGAACCCACAAACCTCGTGATCATGACCTGAGCCAAAGTCGGCCGCTTACCCAACTGAGCTACCCAGGCACCCCTAGTTAGGTTGATTTCTAGATATCTTATTATTTTTCGTGCAATTGTAAATGGGATTGATTCCTTGATTTCTCTTTCTGCTGCTTTATGATTGATGTATAGAAGTGCAACAGATTTCTATACGTTGATTTTGTATCCTGTGACTTGACTGAATTTGTGTATCAGTTCTAGCAATTTTTTGGTGGAGTTTTTTGGGTCGTCCATATAGAGTATCATGTCAGCTGCAAACGGTGAAAGTTTGACGACTTTTCTTGCTGATTTGGATTATTTTTATTTCTTTTGTTCTCTGATTGTTGTGTTTAGGACTTCCAGTACTATATTAAGTAGCAGTGGTGAGATCGGACATCCTTGCCTTGTTCATGACCATAGAGGAAAACCTCTTAGTTTTTGCACATTTAAGATGATACTAGCTCTTGGTACTTTGTAAATGACCTTTATTATGTTGTGTTGTGTTCCCTCTATCTCTACTTTCTTGAGGGTTTTTAAAACGAAACGATGCTGTATTTTGTAAATGCTAGATTGTTCAATTTGTTGGCATATAATTTTTCATAATATTCTCTTATAATTGTATTGCTGTGGTGTTGGTTGTTCTTTCTCCTCTCTCATTTGTGATTTTTTATTTGGGTCCTCTTTTTGATAATCTGGCTAGGGATTATCGATTTTAAAAAAACAGTTCTGGGTTTCATTAATCTATTCTACCAGTTTTTGTTTGTTTCTTTGTTTGTATCATTTATTTCTGTTCTAATTTTTATTTCTCTTCTGCTGTCTATATGCTTTGTTTTTGTTCTTTTTAATGCTCTTTCAGGTGTAAGGTTAGGTTGTGTATTTAAGATTTTTCTTGCTTCTTGAGGTAGGCCTGAATTGTTATGTACTTCTCTCTTACGACCATTTTTGCTACATCCAAAAGGTTTTGGATTTTATGTTCATTTGTTTCCACAATTTTTAAATTTTTTTTTATTTTCCTGATTGACCAATTTATTGTTGAGTTGCATGTTGTTTAACCTCCATGTGTTTGTGCTCTTTTCAAATTTTTTCTTGTGCTTGACTTCAAGTTTAATAATATTGTGGTCAGAAAAGATGAATGGTATGATTTCAGTCTTTTAGTACTTTTTGAGGCCTGATTGTGACCTAGTATGTGATCTATTCTGGAAAATACCTCATGTACTTGAAAAGAATGTGTATTTTGCTATTTTGGGATGAAGTATTCTGAATATATCCTTTAAGTCCATCTGGTCCAGTTTATCATTCAAAGTCATTGTTTCCTTATTGATTTTTTGCTTAGATGATTTGTCCATTGATGTAAGTGAGGTGTTAAAGTTTACAACTCTTACTGTATTATTATGAATGAGTTCCTTTATGCTTGTTAATTGTTTTATATATTTGGGTAGTTCCAAATTAGTGGCATAAGTATTTACATTTGTTAGATCTTGTTGGATAGACCCCTTTATTATGATATAGTGCCCTTTTTCATCTTATGTTACAGTCTTTCGTTTAAAATCTAGTTTGTCTGATAGAAGTATTGCTACTCTGGCTTTCTTTTGACATTCATCTGGATGGCAAATGTTTCCCCATTCCTTCACTTTCAATCTGTAAATGTCCTTAGTTCTCAAATGAGTCTCTTGTAGGCAGCATATAGATGGGTCTTACTTTTTTATTTTAAACCCATTCTTACACCCTGTGTCTTTTGATTGGAGCATTTAGTCCATTTACATTCAGAGTAATTATTATTATTATTATTTTACAAATAGTTTATTGTCAAGTTGGTTTCCATATAACATCCAGTGCTCATCCCCACAAGTGCCCTCCTCCATGCCCATCTCCCCCCTCTCCCCCACACCCATCAGTCCTCAGTTTTTGTTAGCATTCAAAAGTCTCTCACGGTTTGCCTCTCTCCCCCTCCTCCACTGTTTCCCCCCTTCTTCTACCCCATGCTCCTCTGTTAAGTTCCTCCTAATCCTCCTATACATGCAAACATATGGTATTTGTCCTTCTCTGCCTGACTTATTTCACTCAGCATAACACCCTCAAGGTCCACCCATGTTGCTACACATGGCCAGATTTCATTGTTTCTCATTGCCATGTAGTATTCCATGGTATAGATAAACCACATCTTCTTGATCCATTCATCCGTTGATGGACACTTAGGCTCTTTCCATGTTTTAGCTATTGTGGAGAGTGCTCCTGTGAACATTGGGGTCCATGTGCTCCTATGCATCAGTACTCCTATATCCCTTGGGTAAATTCCTAGCAGTGCTATTCCTGGGTCATAGGGGAGTTCTATTGTTAATTTTTTGAGGAACCTCCACACTGTTTTCCAGAGGGGCTACACCAGTTTACATTCCCACCAACAATGTAAGAGGGTGCCCGTTTCTCCACATCCTCGCCAGCATCTAGAGTTCTCTGGTTTGCTCATTTTGGCCATACATTCAGAGTAATTATTGATTGAGATGAATGTGGTGCCATTTTATTACTATTTTACCATTGTTTTTGGAGATTTTATCTCTTCTAGTTTTTGTCACATTTAGTCTTGTTTCACACTGAAAGAGTCCTCTTTAATATTTTTTTGCAGGGGTAGTTTAGTGGTCACAATGTCCTTTAGTTTTTGTTTGTCTAGGAAACTATTTCTCCTTCTGTTCTGAATAATAGCCGTGCTGGATAGAATGTTCTTGGTTGCAGATTTTTCCCATTCAGCATGTTGAAAAATCATGCCACCCCTTTCTGGCTCACAAAATTTCTGTGGAAAGATCTGAAGTTAACCTTATGGGTTTTCCTTTGTAAGTTAGAGACTTTTGTCTGGCTGCTTTTAGAATTTTTCCTTTACCACCATATTTTGCATGTTATAGTTACATTTGCAGTTTTGGTCTTGGTGTTGGTCTGCTTTTTTTTTTTTTTTTTAATTTTGTTGGGAGTTCTCTGTGTCTCCTGGATTTGGATGCCTGTTTCCTTCCCCAGATTGGGGATGTTTTAAACTATTATTTCCCCAAATAAACTTTCTACCCCTTTTTTCTCTGTCTTCTTCTTGGACTCCTTTGATAATGAATGTTCCTATCTTTGATGGAGTCACTGAGTTCCCTGAGTGTACTCTTGTGATCTAATCATTCTTCTTTCTTTTGTTCAGCTTTGTTATTTTTTCATATTCTGTCTCCTATACCACTTATGCTCCTCTGCTGCTTCTGTCCTGTGGTCATTACAACAGTTGCTTTTGAATGTCAGTTAATCATATTTTTCATTTCTGCATGATTTTTAAAATTCTTTTATCTCTGTTGTAAGGATCTCCCTGATGTCCTCTATGCTTTTCTCAAATCCAACGAGTATCTTTATGATGTTTGTTTTAAATTTTCTATTAGACATATTACTTACATCTGTTTCGATTAGATCTCTGTGACCTTTTCTGGTCTTTCTTTTGGGATGAATTCCTCCATCTTGGCATTTTGTCTAGGTTGCTGTCTTCTGTGTGTTAGGAAAGCCTGTCATGTTTCCTGGTCCTGAAAATAATGGCTTTATGAAGAAAACGTCATATAGTATCCAAGGCCTGGCACTTCAGGGAACGTCTCTGGTGCATGCTGCATGCACTCTGGTGTTGTGTTTTGGCTGCTCTATTCCTCAGGTCATTCTTCTGCAGTGGTTCTCCTTGCCTGCAGTGGGAAGTGTTTGGACCTTGGGCAGAGTGTGGTCAGTTTTAATTAAATATGCTCTGGTCTTGTTAAATGAGCCCCGATGCTACTTCCACTGGAACTGAAGCTTTACAGGGGCGCATGGGTGGCTCAGTCGGTTAAGTGCCAGACTTCAGCTCAGTCATGATCTAATGGTTCATGGATTTGGGCCCCGCATCAGGCTGTCTGCTGACAGCTCAGGAGTCTGGAGCCTGCTTCGGTTTCTGTGTCTCCCTTTCTCT